CACGCCGAACCGCCGCGTCGTTACGTCACGGGCACAGCCGGAACGGAATGCGAGCGCCTGAGAGAGCCGCGAAGGGGACGGAGAAAGGGCCCTGGTGCCCGGCCCCCCGCGGGTCCTGCTGGCGGAACACTGAATGACGCAACTGGCACAGCCCGCTAATAGACATTTCTACGAAAGAAAAAGAAACTCAAACACCAGGATAGAAAAAAAATACTAATATTTACTATTTTTCTATACAAAATGTGTTTTATTCTTACCCGGCCTAAGTACAGGAGAGGGGCGTTACTTGCCGTGAAAGACAGGGCAGGAGAGCCTTGCGCGCTCCTCTGACGCACAACGTGAACGTCAAGGTTGTCCCGGCTGCGGCTGGGGAGAGCTCGCGCCGTGGAGCAGGGACCTGCAGCGCTTCCAGAGCTGAGGCTCAAATCCAGCAATAAAACACAACAGCTGGGTACAACAGCGTTCCTGAAGCCTCCGCGTATAACAAGGGTGACAGTTCAGCTCCTGAAATCTGTTCAGCAGATGTCAGCCGCTCTCTTCAAGCTACTTTAATAAAATAGCTCATGACCAGATTCCAGTTTGAAGGTTCACAGAGGTTTCCTTAACTGGTTGAAGACCTCAGCAAAGCTCAAGAACCCAGATGCAGATTAATGGCTAAATGTTTGCAAGCCCTTTATTGCCATAGTGGGTTTAAATACACTTGGCAAAAGAAAACTGCCTAAACTGGTACCATCGCTGTAGTAAAACAGTAGTAGAAAAATGTATACAATAATATAACCACAACTGCTGTGGTGTTATTTCAACTTGGGAAGTTGTGAATTTTGAGAAAATAATTTCCTATGGAATTACAAAAACTAAAAATAGAGCTTCCTCAGAGTAAAATGCATTAAGATGAACCTATATTGAATTCACATGGTTTTGAAGCTAGGCTCAATTTACAATTAGAGAAGAATGCTTTTACCTTAAATTTTTGTAAAAAAATTAACAAAAAAATGGGAGTCTAACACAGTCATTTCTTCACATAAATGGAACCAGTAAAGGTTTCTCATGTGGGTTTTCTGAGGGTTCTGTTTTGTTGGTTTTTTTAAATGTTTCTCTAATAGTGGCACTATTTGTTACAGTACCTGAGTTCTATTTTAAAATATAGTACATTGGTAATACTGTAGAGAGTATTTTTAGAAGACGTTTAGGATGAACAGTCCTTTATCCTGTGCTATGCTGTACTGTGGCACAGAGGACAGAAGTTATAATTGCTTGCTTCTTTGGCTTTCATGCAGTGCTTACATACACTGCACATCCAGAATCGATACTCCAGGATAGGGTCTCCTGTTGCAACACATACAGGAAGTTTCCCATCTCCACTATTTAAAAAAAAAAAAAAAAAAAAGAGTAAATAAAGCTGAAAGAATAAACCCATGGCTTTAAAATAGCAACGATGACTTGTTTTGTAGAAATTTGCACAACACTGTAAATACCTAATTGTGTGCCTACAGCTAGTTATAAAACCTGTGATGCTCATCTGTAAAATACTGCTTTTCTATTCAGATGTGCACTGCTTTTTGATTAGAAGTTATTAAATCACGTAACACTTCACTGTTAACATAGACAAGTATGTACATCTTCACACAACAGACTGCACGCCCCCAGAACCATACAATGAGCAAATCAGGACCAGCAGATCCAAAAGATTAAGTGAAAAGAAGCAGTGAAGGCCGTGTAAAGGTGAAGTCCAATTAGACACCTGCACTACTATTACATTTATTCCTCTGAAGAGTCAACATGAAAGCCACTAGTGAGGTTCACTGCATCTGCACAGTGAAATCAAACAAGACAGGTTAAAATCCTGATTCACAAGTCAATTTCCATACTCAGAAATTCCATGCTGTTTGCAGGAAATGTATGTCAAAGACACCATTGTGGGTACAGCCACTCCAGGGACTTACCCCATAAGCGTGCCCTTCATACTCTCTTTCGTTTCACATAGTCATCTTCTCACACCATGTAGATTTACGTAATACATAAACCGCTAGAGACTTATCGGTTAATAATGGTTAAACATTCACATCACACCACAATGGTGATGCAAACAGTAACAGTATTACTTTAATGGCACATAATACCTGATCAGAGGTCCTAAAACTCCCATGCTCTGTCCATGTGCATTTCAAATTAAGATGAAGTTTATGCCCAGTTCCTCAAATACAGTCAGTGTCTATTGTCCCCAATAAAATAGTGTTGTATTATCCTTTCTGCAGACTGGCTAACACCTGTATCATTCTAACCCAATATTTGGTTTAAGCAGCAAAGCACCTAATTAACTTGGTCACACAAAACCTGCTAAAACCCAAAATGCAGACAATAGTAGGAAAAAAAATGCTAGTATTATTACAATATCATATAAACGCACCTCTCAAGAACGTCGTCCAGATCAGATTTTTTATTATACTTTGGACAATGTCTGGTGAATATCTCTAGAGCAAGGTCTTCATACTGTTGCCTCTGCTCTGGCCTAAGAGTTTCCAAGGATTCTAGTTTAACAAAGGCTTTTGAACAAATATCAAATGCTCTATTTGCACATGCACAGAGTGCCAAAAGGGAATAGATTTCAACTGCAGGGATAATGTCTTCATAATCTCGCAAATGAAGAGCTAAGAAATTAAAAGAAAAAAAATTATTACAAGTCTTCTGAGAAGCGCAAGCATCTGTATGAAATATTTGCTACTAGTAGACAGTATTAATCTTACAAATTGGACACAAGGAACCAAAGTCTTTTCATTGACATGACTGTGAAGCATACATGGTTCAACTCTTTAAAAAAAAAAAAAGATTTGACTGGGAAATTAAAGTGTCTTTTTGAGACACTTTTTTTTTTTTTTTTTTAACATGTTAGAAGTATTTGAAATGGACCTTCATTACTTGGACAAAGTATTGGGCACTGTTTGCTTCTCTAACTCCCACAATTTTTTTATGAAGCTCTACAGGGAGGTCTGATGTGAGTTCAGGCATGCCTTGTAATTTAGAGAAAAAACCAAAACAGTCAACAGAACATCTTCAGAGATTGTCCAATGTAACCAGGTAATATTTGCTAAGTTAGATTCTCATTGTCTCCAAGAAAATACTTCACAGGTATCTCAACTGTGGCCATATTCAGTTCATTATATGGTTTTGTTTTAAATTCTATGGATCTAGCAAGAATAGAAAAATGAGCCAACCATAAGTGAAATTATGTGCTGTGTGAAATTAGAACAGTTTCTTTACAGGGTTAAAAATGAAGTCCTACCTGTTTTAAGTGCTACATCTACAGAACCTTTATGGAGCTGTCTTTGTGCAAGTATGAAAAAATGGTAAGCCTCAGCTCCTCGCCAAGCATTGTCTGCAAAGCGATTAGTTGAAGAAAGAACGTCTTCTTCTAGCAAACCAGCCAAAGCTGAAGCAGTCTGAAAACAAAGCAGTATCGCAAGTAATTTTTATACAAAACAGATACAGCAGGAAGTGGGGATATATGAAAAGAACTTTTCTGTACTTGGTGATTACACCACTGTCTGTGTTAACTAGAGAAAATATAAATACATGGACCTAAAGTGAACATTGTTAGGTATTTTATACAGTGCATAGGCAGAACATATGGTGTAGATTTTAAAAGATAAATATTATATACATGTGTACAAATATATTCTGTGCACATCTGCAGACTGGTCCATAGTTTGGATTAATACTGCATTTCAACACCCGATCTCTTAAAACTTTGTTTAAACTCTTTCATTTGTGCATAGGAAGATGAAAGCATGAGAAGAAAAAAAAAAAATTCTTCCATTTGCTTCCCCCATATCTGGAGCCATCTCCCTGCTAAATTATAGCCAACATAGCTTAATCTAATCACAGATCTCTCTTTGGGATTGATAATTACTCCTAAATGACAGGAAAGTGAGAGTCTTACAGGAAAAAAAATAAATCTGGAGTTTCTTAGTATGATTTTCATTGTTATAGTGAAAACATTAAGAGAAAACACATTAAACTTAGGAAGAAAAATATCTATTAATACATATGATTTAAATGTTTTAAAATAATACTTAGAACAATATGTTTTCACGGAAGACTTGCTTTAAGGAAAGCTTTGTTCTTAGCAGGAAAAAGCATTCTTAAAAAAACCATAATAGCCTCACATAGCTTTATTTATTCTGACTAGGGAGCATAAACCAGAAATCAGGAAGAAAAATGAAAAAAAAAAAAGACACTTTACCTCTGAACTTTTTCCTTTAACTTTTCCCCTTTGTGCATTTTGCATTTGTTCATGGCACTGTTCTATAAGTAAGGCTGCTAATACATAAAGCTTTTTAACTCGCAAAGGCTTTGTCCTTTTCTTTGCCTCTTCATCTGCAATCTTAAAAAACAAAACCAAAGAATTTAATGTAGATTTAAAAAAAAAAAAAATTAGAAGTGTCGTTTCATTCTCTTGGATAATCGCATGCTTGTACAAACCTAGGAAATGATGCCAAAAAATGATTCTGCATTTGAATGTAATAATTTAGACTGCAAACAGAACTATAAATGAAAACGTCAAACTGAAGAATGTACATTATTCTATATTTATTTAGCTAACAAGCATATAAAGCCAGATTCTCAGGAAGGATAAATCAGTGTAACCATGTATAAGTCTATTGACTTAATATAAAAATAAACTAAAAAATAGTGATTTTTAAACACTGAAGTTTAAGAAATACATAGCTTTCAATAAGGTCTGGTGGTTTTCCCAGAAAAGAAGAATGGCTTTTGAAAGTAACATATACATTTTTTTTTGTTTTACTATAAATATTTGCTGTAAAAATTACATATCACTCTTACAGACTTTATAAGCTATGTACAGAAATCTCTGCAGCCAAACCAAATCTAAGCAATATCTTTATCTTAAAAGCACACCACAGCAGTTTCTAATTGAAGGTACCAATTGAAGAAATACCAAAATTTAACTTCTAGTTAGTGATATTGCTATTTTTAAAAATAAATGAGATAAAATTAACCCACACAACATATAAAATAATGTGGACACTGCTCCCAGGCTGGTCTGCTATACTTCATTAGGCAATGCAGGGCAACAGGACCTTTTCTGAGGTGCAGTTCATCTCATTCTGAAGTGCAAGTCTCAAAATAAATCTGATGGCTTGTGTCCTAAGTCTCCTCTCCACTGGCTACAGAGGACATCCAGGGTAACTATTTCAGATAGAGCTACCTGAACTTAGGAGTTGGATTCATCTTTGCAGTATCCTGTATAATGACATCTGCTTATCGCCTGGACATCATTAACACTAAAATAACCCCAAGAAAAAAAGTAGCATGGAAATATTAAGAGCTAGTCCACAAACTCAGTTATTTGACATAAAACTAAAACCTGCAATACCTTGAACATGAGCTTAGCAGCTTCAAAGAAATAGTTGGCTTTACGATAGAGTTCTATAGCATCAAGGATTTTATTCTTTTCCAGTAAATGACTTGCATATCTGGCTAACAAGGATCCAATCTCTTTCATATTGTGATTTTTAGCCAGCTCCACCGCTTTATTCCACTAGAAATGAAAGCAGACAATTACCAACCTCATTGTTTCAAATACATTCTCAGAACAAGCTGGTTATCCATGAATAGTCTGCAACTTTTGTGTGCAATACTTCATCACCATTTAGAACCAGGCTACTATAAAATTAAAGTAAAAACCAAGAGAATACAAATGCTAACATCAGTGCCAATCGTGATACAGCAGGCCAGTGAAACAAATGCTGGACCTCTGTCCAAAACCACATACAAAGCAGTTGCTTCTGCTTTGGTAAAAGCTTTGCAAAATCACTTCATTGCTGCTCATAGCTGGACACGCCGATTTCAACACTTCTGATATTACTAAAACCCAGACTCTCAAAAGCATGTCTTAAAGAGGACTTCAGCCCATAGGCTTAAGGCACAGACAATAACACTTTACTTATCCTTCTATATACCTCATTTTGTCTGTGAATTTTCCTGATCTTCAACAGTTTCGTTATTGCATTTGCCCCAGATCAAAAGTCTGGCAGGACCGAGAGACTTAGCTGAATCTCATACCTAATAGCCCTTCAGATCCAGAAACTAGGAATTTGTTCGCAAAGACAGCACTAGCCGGTACTTCTGTTCCCATACATTAGCCATCCTCAGTTTCTCTCTTACTTGTGTTGACACAAACATTTGCACAGGTAAGTCATACTGGGGAACAGCTCTAGCCATAAACATACAGATAATTTTCCAGGTACATCCTAATGTAGCCAAATACATTTGCATCTTTACAGGGAAGGAGGGGGATGTGGAAAATGGGCAGCCAGAAGCTCTCCAGTCTTCCTACCAGCCCAGCTCTGCAAAGGCCGCACATGCTGAGCGTGCCACACACCCACACACGCATGCATGCACACGCACCCACGTGCGCGCGCGCACACACACACACACGCAGAAGTAGCACTGCTGTGTATAGCTGTGTCCTTCCAATGCTCTAATCCTAATTTCAGAGAACTGGCTTAAGCACTGAAGTATGAGTTTTCCAGAAGTCATGACAAATCATCAGAAGCTTAACAAGGACTTGTATTTAGCTAGGCATTAGGATAGAAATCTCACTGTTAAATTGGTATCGGTAAAGCAGATGATCTGCTGTTGGTTTACCTGGTTGAGATGTACACAGGTATCTACCGCATCCTTCGGTCGATTACATTTCAGAAAGGCTGACACAGCTTGTTCACACATCCCCACTCTTACAAACATATAAGCTATATCCTGTAAAAAGCATCAGCACCGTGTTAAATTCACTTCCAGATTTTTAGTATATCGTGTAGCAACTGAAATACTATTATATTCTTTAATTTAATTCCAAGAACTTGGGGGAGAAGGGGTTGTTTGCTTTGTGGATTCTGTGAAGACAACACACGCTGTTGTAAATCTTTAGAACAGCGTGCTACTTTCACACACCACTTCTAATTTTTTTTTTTAAAAAAAGGCTATTTAAAAAAATTTCTTTCAAATCAAATCATAACAAAAGGACTGTGTTCTTACTATTTAGGGTATTTCACAAAACTTTGCTATTAGAAGTTAAAAAGTGCTGTCATCTTGCTTTGTTCAAACAACTGAAAAAGGCATTAAATGAGCAGGTTTGGCTTTTTCAAGCATTTTGGATTAATCAATCATATTGTAGTTTTAAATTAGCTATTACTTAGTAGGTAATTTCAGGCTATACCACCTACTTTCCCTTCTTTCAGCAGAGTATCTTCAATTTTCATTGTACATTAGCATTCCCACCAGAGCTGCCATGTAAGAAGTTAAACCAGGGATAGCAACCAGGAAGAATTTTGGGGGAAAAAAACCCAGTGTAGACTAGACGACAAAATGAAAGATAAAGTAAAGGTCCAGCCATGAGGGGTGACTTCTCAGTGAAGCACAGCTATTTTAGAGAGAAATGCCACAGTCTGGGGAGGGAAACAGTGAATTATGACTTAGCCAAGTGGCCATAAAGCATGATGAATAATCAGGTCTTTCTGGGAAACTTGGAGAGTAAGGGAAGGGAAGAATGACAGAGTATGAAAACAACAGTAATATTGGAGATCAATACCAAAGTAACACCATTATGCTTCAGTGAGTAGGTCATATACTGCATTCTTTCTCTCTTTCTTTCTTAACCCTCCCAAGACGGGAAATTTTCAATAAATAGTTGAGCATAAGGCAATGAAAAATAAAGGTGCTTTTTGCTTACAGGGAGCAATTTATTATTCTCCGGAAGTGAGTTAGCTAGATTCTCCAGTCCTTGGTAGTCCTCTAGCATGTAGTAGCATTCAGCTAAACGTTCCTGGTTTCGTCCTTGTACATAATACTGTACAGCATTTAACCTAATAATAAAAAAAAGTGGTGGCTTCTGATATATAAACACAAGTGAAGCTTCTCATTGTGTAAGCCTTTTGCATTTGTAAATTTAAAATTACATTATTTTAAATAGGTAACTTTGCTTGAGAGAGCTTTTGTAGCTAGAATTTCAGTGTTTTTCTAAAATGCACTAAAAGTTTTAATCTTCAGAAATCATTATATTGAAGTAGTAGCAAGATTGATTCTTAGACTAGCTTAAGGTTAGGAAATCAAGGAATCTTAAAACTGTATTCCCACATCTGCACAGATCATGGCTGATAATGGACAACAACTTACAACTAAACTTGCAGAAAAGGGTTTTACTGTTGTGCCTCTGTATTTTAAAACACAAGCACTAAAATCTCAAAGATCATTCTCCAAAGTTACCTAAAGCATCTAAAAATCAACTTTCAAAATCTAATCACAAGTTTTCAACTGCTTTTGGACCCAAGTTCTTTGTGATAATATAGTCTGGGTAATTGCAATACATAGTGGAGCTGTCAAACTCTATGAGACAGAGTGTTCTGGATGCTAAAAGTTTACATGGGCTTAGAAGGCAACAAGAAGAGTTCATGAAAGAAGATTTCTCTGCATGTTATTAAATATGAAGATGTCACTTCTGGCTCAGTAAGTACGTGACTGCAAAAGTGTTCTGGAGAAACATCATTACATACGTGGACTGTTCTTGAAAATCTTCCTTGGGTGTCCAGTTTGGGCAAGAGCTGGAGACAGATCCAGGTCAGAGAGAACTCTGGACCTTTTCAAATATTTGTGGGTTTAAGCATTCTAGAAAGCTTGTGGTTAGTTTTGAAATTCACTGATGTTTAATAATTGTCTCTTAGTTTCGAACTGATTTTTTTTTTCTTAAATACTTTCTGTATCTAGCCTAATACAACTGGATAGGTGTTTCTCTCCAACCCCCTCTCCTTTGAAGCAAACAGTCTTCTGGCAAAACTGAGATTTTTATCACCTTCATTCTTTAGATGGTTGATCAACAGCTCTCTCTTTAAAGGCACGTGCAGCGGTGGAACCATAAAGGTCTGAACTAAATCTCATAATTCCAAAATTATCGCAGGTATTGCATCCTGACTTTCCTGACATCTGTCCCTCCTCATAAATTATGTCTTATGATCAGTTTATCATTTCTTTCATAATTTCCTTCTTACTAGGTCCTCTACAGAACATACCATTTCTGACGGTCTGCAAAATAATCTCCAATAGCATTGTGTGCTTGTTCAAGAAGGGCATCATCTGAATCACCCGAGCCAGTTTTCAGTAGCTGCAATACTCGAAACCAATCTCCCAGTTTTATCCGTAGTCCAATGGCAAGATCTCTAATATAAACAGAAAATAGCAGGAAAAAGTCAAAGACAATAAAATAGCTAACAAAAATCTTGAGAAAAGCATCCAAAAGTATTCTCATGTTCATAACCTACATCACAGGTATCACAATGATCTCTGATATCTTGTTTACAATTTAAACAATATTCCATAAAAGCAAATACTCAGAGAGCTCACAGGTTATATCATACCTACACGCTTCCCTATTAGCCATGCTCCATTGAGAGGAGTTAAATAAGCAGCTGGCAAGACAGTTGGGCTGATGCTACTTCAGACTTCCTCTTGTTCTGTATACCATTCTTTATCTTTCACTGCTGACCACTACAATAGATGGCAGCGGCTGTAGAAGGCTAAAAAAGCAGGAGGGAGATGAGGAGAAGGCCCAAGGAGCAAGTAATATGAATAATGGCGGCTAAAGCTGAGATTTAATAAAATGGATTTCAGGGACTTCACTTTCAGTTTCAAGATGACTTTGGATGAAGGAGAAAGGACTCAGTAGTAGTCTCTCCTTTTTATTATTCGTGCATACATATGATCCATCGTGTGTCTGTCTGGCAGGTTTTTTCCACCATATAGAATAATTCTACAGAAGTAATTCTGCAGGTGCATAGAAAAGAAATGGGAGAGATATATACAATTCTTTTAAAAATGTCCTAAATTTACAAGTGAGTAAAGGAAGGCAACAGCAAGTCAGTCCAGTCAGCTAAATAACAGCATCTATCTAAAAAAATTTAAAATTGTATTTGAAAAATAGTTTTATTTCAGCCTAATTTATGGGAGGTCCATATCGAAATTTTTGTAGTGGTGAGGAGACACATAAGGTCAATACAGAATTCCCATATTCTTGTAGCTGGAGAATAAGATGCTCTACTGTTGAAAAAAGCAGTTAAAAAAAAAAAAAAATCTTTGATGTCTGCAATCCTATAATGGCCAAATTTCTCTTCAGCCATATGGAAGGGAATATGCCGTATCTCAAAATCTGTGTTGCAGTGTGACTTAAGTGGTTATGAGACAGTCCAGCTCTCCAAGCCAGCATACTTCCATGGGCTAATTAACTATGTGCAAGAAGGTTTTCTATTACCAGGCTCTAACGTGCATCTCTCCCCAGCTCCTGCCTTCCCTCCCACTCCCACCCTTACCAGGGAAGAGGAAGCATGAAAGAAATAACTTTTTCTCCATCATTCCCTGCTTTTTGTCATGGCTCCATTAATCAAAGCTTTAAAATTTCACATATGCATAAGTGATTCATGCTTCTCCGTGTTTGACCACCACCTACAGGCTACATCGTACAACTGCTGCTTATTATTTCTCATTATCCTTTTTCAGTAAAGACAGTCCTCTAGTTAATTACTTAGCGTTAATTTCTATTTTCCAGTAATACTGTAATTTTGCTTTGTTTGTTTTCATTCCTGAGCAAAAGTTCCATTGATTGGTCAACAATTTCATGCAGAGTCCTTTCTGTCTCTCCAGAGATTACAGTTCATTAAAAACTCTGTTGTTTGTATATGTAATTGGAAAGAATGTGTACTTGGCTACTAGCTAAAAGCAACAGTACATAAATTAAACATTAGTTAAGACTGTTTGTATTTTTGGAATCCCAGTTGAAATACCGACAAAATACTTGAAAAAAAAAATGTCTATGAAACACAGCACTACCTAGAACAGCTGGGGTTTTGCAGTTTGGAATGTGCTGATTTACCTATAGAATTGGTTATCTACGGATACAACAAAATTCTGTCCATCTGATCCTCTTCTGTCTTTCCAGAAACTGGTAGAGTTTTCAGTGCTAAAACAGTCGTTCTTTACTAAAAGACAAGCATATTTTTTTCACACTTTTTTTCTTTACCTGCTGCTGAGATGACTACACGCAATTACCTTCTGTCCATATCCAGATACATTCTTTCAGCTTCTTCAAATCTGCTAAAATAGGCTGCCACTTCTGCTTGCTTCATTGACTCACTCTGCAGGTTGCCTAGACGCTTCACGAATTTAATACCTTGATAATCTTTGCAACGTACAAAAGCTTGTTCAGCAGTCTGCAGATCCAGCTTCTGAAGAGCAGCTTCAGCCAGGAGACGCCTGTGTGAAAAACAAACAAAATATAGTCAGAAATGCAGCTATCCAGTAAATTAAATGAGGATACATTTAACTAGTCATTATTTAAAGACAACATGTAAGTTACTGCAACTGTATTATTTACTAACTAGTCTTAATTTGGTTGTATACTTGTCCGCAGTGCATTCTGTGATCTATCCATTACTTGCTCAGGGAAAGATGTTCAAATAATCGGTAATATTCTTTGTTCAGCTGTTCAAACGGACACTGGCTTGGGAGGAATGAGCAGGGTTGAGTATTACAATTGTCCAATGTGACATGTGTTGCTGGTCTCAGTGCAGTTCCGTTTAGATATTTCTACCTATGCATAACTTTAACCCTTGATGGCAGCCTCAGTCTGAAGGCCTCCAACTAAATTAGCCATGAAGACTAAATTATCCTTCTAATCCATCTGGATGTTCCTTGTCCAGTTTGGAACAGCACTTTGGGAGAGCACGGCAGTTAGGGAAACCTTGTACTGGTATCAACCCATTGGTTAGTTCTGCAAACAGAGAATTTCTACCTTCAGGCCAACCTACATCCATCAGGTGCTTCAATAAGCTCTAGAATTTTCTGCAAAAATAAGGCTAGGTAAATTTAGACTAGCTGATTGACATTGTGAAACAAATTCAGTGCAGCAGGGCACTGACAAAACCAATATTGTTGCTGTTTTCAGTGATCTAAGCCATGCTTAGGCAGTATCAACTCAGTATTTTTTAATCAATTCGAGAAGGTTGCTATCACTTCAACTCAAATGCTGACATCAATGAAACCAAGAGAAAAACAGTATGACAAATGTAATCAATCTTCAAAACACATCATCCTGTTTGTCATGTTCTAGCAGTAAGGGCACTGTTCCGTTCTAATCTAGAATGTATTATTTGCTTTATAACCAGCACTTCTAATCCATCTCTTCTGTATGAATATGTGACATATTGTATGTTTCCTTGCATAATGAAAATCAAGTTCATGTCAATTTTGGAGCAAGGTGAACAGCATTTGACATATTTTTTGTGCCATCCAGAGGGACCTCAACAGGCTTGAGAGG